CAGTCGCTTGGTCCAAGGATGCGCAGTCTGTGCCATCACCAAACCTCCCCGTCCCCTGCCACAAGGCAAGCTGGTACCACTTCCCATACCTCACCGGCCCTGGTCCCACATCGGAGTCGACTTCGTCACCGATCTCCCCGAGTCCGAATCACACACCTGTATCCTCGTAGTTGTCGACCGATTCTCAAAAGGATGTAAACTTCTCCCCCTCAGAAAATTACCCACGGCCATGGAAACCGCTACACAGTTATTCCACCAAGTCTTTCGCAACTTCGGCATCCCGGAGGATATCGTCTCCGATCGTGGGCCTCAGTTCATCTCCCGGGTCTGGAGGGCCTTCTTCCATCTCCTTGGTGTATCAGTTAGCCTCACCTCTGGATATCACCCACAGTCCAATGGCCAGACTGAGCGCAAGATCCAAGAGATCGGGAGATATCTCCGTCTGTCTGCTTCTCCCCCAGGGTCTGACGAATCCGGCGTACCTCCTCCTCCCGAAATCGCTGAAGAGGAGACCATCTACAGAGTCAATTCTCTTCTGGACTCCCGGCGTCGAGGCGGCCGCCTAGAGTATCTCGTGGACTGGGAGGGATTCGGCCCCGAGGAGAGATCATGGGTTCGTAGAGATGATGTGCTAGATCCCTTACTCCTCAGAGACTTCCATGATCGTCACCCAGATTGTCCCGCTCTCCGGGGCCGCGGCCGTCCTTGACGTCGGGGTACTGTGAGGGATAGTCCAGCCTCGTCAGGCCCAATCACCTCACACACCCGTTCACAATCACCGGAGTACTTATCAGCCGCATCTGTCACCACCTCATCAACACTAGCTCAAATGCTCAGTCACTGCAGTCACACTTCGTCTGGTCTTGAGTTCACTACGCTACTCCTTACCTGACTCACTAACCCGGACTCCATCCTGAAACCTACCTGTCTCTGTGTCATCCTCTTCAACCCGATCCTAGAAGGAAACCGTCTTCACGTGAGCTAGATCCCTTCCATTCCATAGACTGTTGCTCTAACCCGTTTGCTCTTTATCTCTCTCTCTCAGCACCTGTTAAATAAAGATCCCTGTTTACTTTACCTCTCCGTCCTTGGTCTCCTTCTGTACTGTGACACACATAGTAAGTACATGTAGTTAATTAATATTACTCAGTACTTAAATGTATAATTACACTGTGACACTTATTTACTAAAATAAAGTGTAACCCAATAAAATCAAAAGCACATAGTAAAATTACAAAAGAATACTATAAATCAGTAAAAACTAAAATGAAAATACAGAAATGAAATACTAACAAAAACTATAATAGTAAACAACTAAACAAATAAAGTAACACGTGCACATGCACCTTTTGAAGAGCTGTTTTCACAATCAGTCAAACATTTTCTCATACCTTCCCCATTCCAGAGTGAGCGTGTCCGATCTTCACCACCACAGGGAATGTTGGCATTGAGATCTGAAACACAGATTCATTGTTTTCACTGTTGACTTTCTTTAATATGCATGATCCATGTTTGCATTGGTTACTGACTTTAAGCAAGGATCCAGGAACTGGATTTAATCCCATTTAATCCCAGATACAGGCGAATAAAAACTTTTATTGTTTCAGCATCTGTTAGTCATTTATTATGCTTCAGAAACAGGTGTGTTGCTGACAATTATCAAATCCGGCTCATCATATGCAGTCTAGCAATCAAGCATGTGTGAACAAGATGAGTTTTATGTCCTATCCACATCGCACGCAACACGACAACCAATCTGACATTTCTGAGTGCAGCACAGTATTTAAACAGACTCATTTCCATGAAGAACTGATGGCATAAAGAGTATGAGAACAGAGTCAGATCTGAATGGATCAACTGAGCATCCACTGATCCGTGTGTGTGTGTGTGTGTGTGTGCTTGTTTATATGGTTTATGAGGACACGAATTTGTATAATGACATGGGTATTGCCGAGATATTACAAGGTGAAAGTGATTTATGAGGACACTGCCTATGTCCCCGTAATTCAAAAGGCTTAAAAAACATACTACATGCTGTTTTTTTGAAAATCTAAAAATGCACAAAGTTTCCTGTGAGGGGTAGGTTTAGGTGTAGGATGATAGAAAATACAGTACAGTATAAAAACCATTGCGTCTATGGAGAGTCGCCGTAAACCATAAAACTGCACCAGTTTGTGTGGTTTGAGGACACAAATTTGTATAATGACATGGGTATAACATAGGTATTACAATATGAAGGTGGTTTATGAGGACACTTTCTGTGTCCCTGTAATTCAAAAAGCTTAACAACATACTACATGCTGTTTTTTTGAAAATCTAAAAATGCACAAAGTTTCCTGTGAGGGGTAGGTTTAGGTGTAGGATGATAGAAAATACAGTACAGTATAAAAACCATTGCGTCTATGGAGAGTCGCCGTAAACCATAAAACCAACATGTGTGTGTTTGTAGAGGGTGGGGTTTGTTTAGTTAGAAGGGTGGTCCTTTCCTCAGCCAGACATGAAAGCTATAAGACTGCCACAGCGGTTGCAGAGAGAAGGAGATCACTACAGACGGACAGAGGAACACAAGAAGCGTCTTTGATATAGCTGATCATTTCTCTTGCGTGAGCATGTCTGCTGCTGTGACTCTAGCGCTGCTGTTCTTCTTCTCTGTGGCACTGAAGGAGGTCAAGGGCTGCAGCTGTGCTCCAGGACACCCGCAGCAGCTCTTCTGCATGTCTGACATAGGTACGTCTAACAAATCCCAGTTTATGCTCTTTTATTTTCATAGCTTTGCCAAAGTAAAGTGTCGGATCGGCCGGAGGTTGTGACAAATCAGTATAATCTTCCATAATCTATTCCATAATCTTGTCTGTCAACAGTGAGGACTAGCAAGGAACGGCTTGTGAACTGATTTAGGTTCAGGACAGTGTTGTGACACTGCAATATGTCAAACATATTAAATTTGTAATTAATGCGCAAATAATGATCAGAATCAAGGCCATATTTAGTTGTTGCCTCATTAAGGAAAGAGCAGTTTCCTTATTTTACAATCATCTGGCATACCTATTAACCATTTTATAACAGTTCTCGATACTCTGTAATTATGACTGCTGTAATAAGTCACAGTTTAACGATCTAGTTTCTTTGCCACCTTAGAGAGGCATTTACTTTTTAATTAGCTCCCGTTATGGTTTAAAAAAAAATGTGTGTAATTATGTCATTTGAACTTTACTAAAGTCATGATTGAGGACATTGACTATTGTATTGGCAAGAACTGAATGCGTTCTCCTTGGATTATAACCTCCGTTTGCTGTCAGAAATCCAAGTTCATTCAGCATTGTGAAAACACATCTTTACATTGACTTATTACAGAGTCAGTCACTTACAGCTTAAACAGTAGCTTAAACTTTTTTTTAAAGTATAGTTTTTCAAACGAAAGTGAAAGTGTTTTTACTTATAAGTGAAAGACGTCTAGTCAAAAGACAAACACAAAATGTGGATATTCAAGATGTGTTCTCTGAAAGCAAGTCTTTTGATTCTCAGGTACATTTATCTAGTTTTAAAAATGTTGAGATATTTTCTGAAAAACAAGACTTTTGCAGCGCACCCGTTTAAATATTCTGCAAAATGTGTTTCACTCAGAGAACGAACGAGTTGTTTTGAATGCCTGCTTCAGTGCGTCAGAGCTGCTTTGGCATTCCAGTCTTTGTTCTGGAACAATAAGGCATGGAATGACCGGCATGAGGTTATAAAGACATGCAGATTCCTGCAGTTTTCATTGAGCGAATATGGTAAATCCACATAATCCATCAACTAGAAAACAACTATGGCATCAGTGTACCATCCCACTCGCTTATAACCAAAAGATGTTTTAGCTCTTTCACTGTGTAATTCAATGCCAAATTCTTTCATCTTGGCAAACTGATCTCCTAACACAAAAGAAGATGTTCTAGAGTCAAAGACAAATAAAGTTGTCTGAGATGACCACTTTCAGCAAATAATTTTGATTTAATTACACTAAAATGTCAAGTGGTGTAAGCAAATAAAAAGATATAAAATATTTTTCCTTACTTGAACCCAAGTGTATTGAAAACGAATTAATTAATTTATTATTTATTATTTATTGCAAGAAAAATACATATGCCCTTGAACAATAATAACGAATATGAAGAATAACAATAATGAAGAATAACTGAAAAGGACCAAATAAGAAACTGAAGGAGACACAGGTGAACAACATTAGTAACTATGGCCACGATTCTTGATGGTCCCCTTTGGGTCCTTTTGAAGCTACAGGTCAACTAGCAGTCATTAGAGCAGGGCTCCTCAAGAGATCCACTTTCCTGCAGAGATTAGCTCCAAACTGGATTAAACACACCAACCCGCAACTTTGTGGCAGAGATTGTATTACTATCGGGAGATGAGAGGGTCTGTATTACTTCCTACTGGAGAAAGTGAAATGTTCAACTTGGATCATGTGTGCCTTGATAACCAATCACATTATAGCCTTGAGGTCACTGAATTTCAGTCAAGGGTTGTGCGACACTCAAACGCCATTTACGTATCCCATAGGAATGAATGAGAAGCGCCGGAGGCTGAATCCCACCTGTCGCAAAAAGTCTGTGATTTCTCCTATAAAACGAAATTTTTTGGTGTGGACTCAATACAAATGTACTGTTTAGTGTAAAACATGTTGAAGATTAGCAGATAGCAGATAGCGTAGTGAAGCCTCTCCTCCATTGACATCCATTATAAAAGGGCCTCTGGTCTCCTTCCATGCGCAGCAGCTTTAGCTTTAGCCGTTATGCTTTTTTGGCTAAAGGTTGCAGCCTTGCCTTCCAGTGGCTTTGCTTTGTAGTAATCCTGAAGACCTTGATTAGCTTGTTCAGGTGTGTTTGATTAGGATTGGAGCTAAACTTTGCAGGAAAGTGGACCTCGAGGTCCAGCGTTGAGGTCTCCTGCTTTAGAGTATTAGTAGACTGTCTGCTTAACTGCTAATACTTTATTAACAGATAGTCTACTGAGAGTCTACTATGTCTAAAGAGGACTATCAAAATGCAGTGTAAGTGAACATACTCAGAACAAAACAGGACCTAAACTCATGAAAAGAGAGACCATGAACAACAGATAGAAATACACTGCAAAATGAGAACAAAACACAGGCAAAACATGGCCCAGGGTCCATGGTGGGCTTCTTGATCTGCTTTTTTATCCTGCTCACCCATGGTTAAATAGATCCTAGGATTGAGACGGCCACATCTTAAAATTGTGTCAGCATCACTTGACAAAACTCATATAGGATGGATTTCAGCGGTTCATTCAGACCAAGCAATCAGGGAATACTCAGAAAATGTCATACTGATATGGTCCTCGAGAGAGCGTTCATCTTTGGTGGTCATCTTTGGGCCTTTGGTGATGGCCCATTTATTTGTCATGGGCTGTTTGTGGGCAGGGAAGAGTTGAGACGAGGATCTACAGCAGTGTTTCCCAACCGGGGTGCCGTCTGTCGAGAGCAGGGTAGGGTGCCACAAGTTTGTTAAAATTTCCAAAGGGTGCCGCGACTAAAAAAAGGTTGGGAAACACTGATCTACAGTATATATATGCATGATATCTTTATTAAGCAAAACACTTAGGAGCACAAGGAACCACTGGAGAACTGCAAACAAGCTCATACATAGAAAAATGGACAACGAGCAACTGAAACTGAAGGCTATAAGTACATCAGTGCCAAATAAAGAACTAAGTGTGGCCCTGGACCACAAAACCAGTCATAAGGGTACATTTTTTGAAATTTACAAAATATCTTCATGGAACATGATCTTTAACTAATATCCTAATGGTTTTTGGCCTAAAAGAAAAATTGATAATTTTGACCCATACAATGTATTGTTGGCTATTGCTACAAATATACCTGTGCTACTTATGACTGCTTTTGTGCTCCAGGCCATTTCTAATGTCGCCAATAATTAGAGATGCACTGAAATTCCGGCTGCCGAAAATGAGTTCACCGCTCAGGTTTCACTTTCACGTGGTGTGACGCTCTGCGTATTATCCGCTCTATGCGTGCGCTCCGCTCAGTCTCTCCACTCGTATACCGTTCATGCTCATCGGAGCAGCAGAGTCCACTCAAAAATTGAGCTGACAGGAAACATCGTAGGGTGCCACAAGTTTGTTAAAATTTCCAAAGGGTGCCGCGACTAAAAAAAGGTTGGGAAACACTGATCTACAGTATATATATGCATGATATCTTTATTAAGCAAAACACTTAGGAGCACAAGGAACCACTGGAGAACTGCAAACAAGCTCATACATAGAAAAATGGACAACGAGCAACTGAAACTGAAGGCTATAAGTACATCAGTGCCAAATAAAGAACTAAGTGTGGCCCTGGACCACAAAACCAGTCATAAGGGTACATTTTTTGAAATTTACAAAATATCTTCATGGAACATGATCTTTAACTAATATCCTAATGGTTTTTGGCCTAAAAGAAAAATTGATAATTTTGACCCATACAATGTATTGTTGGCTATTGCTACAAATATACCTGTGCTACTTATGACTGCTTTTGTGCTCCAGGGTCACAAATGAGACACAGGTGAACAAAATCAGTAAATATGAGAATGTACTCAGAAACCTAGAAACCAACAAAACAAGAACCAAACAAAGGAAAAGAAACCCTGAACAGCAGATAGAAATAAACTTCAAAATAATAGTCTCTAAACACAAAACACAGGCAAATCATGACATCCATGGCATGAAAATATAATTCTAAAAAGGCTTAATGACCTTGAGCTACAGTCCTGAGAATCTACTGGACTTCTGCGTGTCACATACCACATGACTTTGACTGAAAATGGGACACAAAGTTCTTTTTTTCTTTTATTAGTAGCATTTCAAAATAACGTTCACATACAAGATAAGAGTTCACAACCTGTCTTTACAGCTACAGTAAGTATTAGGTACATCAAGCTGGACTTTATTTAGCGCTTTCTTTCACTTTGTATTTAGTAATCAAATTGCTAAGGTATGCCGGGGTAGCACCAAGATATTTCTGTCAATAAGAGTTAATAAGAAAACCCTGAAATCATTCCTGTAAGACAGCAAGTTACACTCTGAACTCTTGTATGCTTAGCACATAATGTGGTTTTTAAAAATGGAAATTGCTCTCAAATGTTAATGTTCTAACATGGTTATTGACCTTAAGAAATAAGGAGAGTAAGGCCATTAAGCATATACATGATAAAGCCTGTGCATGTTTCTAACAGAAGAAACTGATTTCACTGAAATGATTCCTTTGCTTTCAGTGTCACGCACTAGTAATAACATCTGACTTGTTTCTGATTAGTGATGCAAGCCGAGGTAACTGGGGAGAAGATCATACACAGCGGTGGAATTATACCTGGCATGGGAAAAATTCAATATAAAATCCAAGTGATAGAGGTGAGCTAAAGTACTTGATGATCACATAAATGTTCTGCTGGGAAAATTACTGCTATTTGGCCTTCCATCCAAATAGACTATCACTGAAACGGAGGTAGAGTTACAGTCTCTTGGGGGTTCTTGTCGATTAGCTGGTAGAGTATAGACTGATAAAGGCAGTGTGGGTATTTCTATATGAAAAGACACTTCAGATCAAAGCATAATACAAAATCTGTGACTGTTTGCACTAAGTAATAACTCTGCCACCCAGCTGGGCTAGTAGCACATCAATAGTCTGGTCAAAAAAAACAAACCAAACTTTTTTTGGCTAGCCATAAACTGTAACCCAAGTGACCCAAGTTCAAATCCGCCTTTTTCCAATCTCATTCTTCTCTCTATGCCCATCCTATATCAGCTAATTTATTTTAAATTAAATAAAATGTTTTTTTTTTTTCCTTTTTGAAAATGGATCAGCAGACCCAAAATTGTTAGGTTTAGAGTAAAGATTAATTATAATATACATCAATACAGTATACAATAACCAGAGGTTCAAATAGCCAAATAAAAATGTAATATGGCGACTTTGCAAAAATGGCAAAAATCTTGTTTTTGCAGGTGTTCAAGGGTTTTGACAGAATAAATGAAATTCAGCATGTCTATACGCATGAGATGTCTTCAATGTGTGGGACCAAACTGGGCCGTGGACAGTATCTGCTTTCAGGTAAAAGCATTTAGGATGTTTTCACAAACTACCAAATTTTTCTTGGACTTTTGAAAATGACAGTTCATCGTAATAAAGAAAAATCCTTTGAGAACAGAAAATGTCTCTCCTGTAGCCAAGAAGAGCATTTATTACCTCAAGCCGCGAGGCCAAAATCCTCGTTTCTCCACAGAACAACCACACAAACTCTCCAATTTACCAGCAAGGGCAAGAGGAAGGAAAACTACAAGGAAAACTAGCTATACTGCAGAACGAACATGACAGAATTGGACAATACTTGAACAATGATTTAAAAAAATGTTATAGTGACAGTAGTTTATTCATTTGTAGTACAACATCAACGTATTTCAGATAAAAAGAGAACACATACTTGTTCAGTCGCACCTGCTTTCATTTATTTGATCGCAGGAATGCACAAAACTACTTTGTTTGAGCTTTAAGTCCAAAGGTGTACACATTTAGAAACATACTGATAAGCTCTCATATGTGTTCGTCATATTTCTTTAGAAAGAATGATCAGTTATATTAATTTACCAATAAATAATGCAATCAGAGCAGGTTTGAGCTGAAAATAACAGAAAACCGGAGTTATGATGTAATTGATTAAATATGTGGATGCAGAAGTCCATCATCATCATCATTGAAACTGAATAAATACACAAGTGCAATCATATATGTGCTTCAATTGGTCTCTGATATTTCCATGAGCGTAGTGCATTTATTATGTCAATGGTTAGCATACGTTGCCTTAAGCATTGCATATAATTCTGTAATAATATATTTCTGACTCATATGTTGATCACCATTGGATTGCACCTGATGGTGTCTGAAAGCTAGTTTTGTAATGAAAATCATTTAAGTATCTTGAAAGTTAGCTGGTAGCCTGATATGAAACCATAGGAAAAGAGCAGCAGTTCTGAACATCTCCTGACTCAGATAAACTTATATATTCTAACTCTATCTATAACTCTATCTGCCCCTAAACACTGTGAGAGGGGGATTCACTGGCTAACACTGTATAGGTGGAGTTCAGGGAAAATAAAACAATATTCAAATGTATGATACTGTATGTTTGTTATCTCACAGGAAGCATCACACCTGAGGGATTCTTCGTGTCAATGTGCGACTATCTTGAGCTCTGGAACAAACTCTCCTTAATGCAAAAAGAGAACCTCAAATACAGATATCTGATGGGCTGTACCTGCATGGTAATAAACTATATATATTTCATCTGAGATCCAAACATTATGATCACTCAGTTATATCATGTCATTCCACTGATTTACTTTTTTACATCTAATATTAATTAATATTATCAAGGGACTTGATAGCACACAAGGACAGGACAAAAGCCGAATAAACAGGTTCTATAATACTTAGAAAATCACTAATCCAACTGAAAGAACGTTTTTAGTGAGTAGTTAATCTAGCCGTGTCTGTAATTTAAAAAAATACTCGTACTTATGAAGGTTTGAATGAACAAAAATTTGTCATACTTTAGTTTGGGGATCATTCTCACTATTACCTATAACTTTTACCTTAATAAACTCTTAGTTTGCATAGGTTTAGGTGTAGGTATGGGATGGGATGGATTAAGGGATCTAAAATATGGTCATGCAGAATAAGACACCAATATCTGCTTTATAAGTACTAATAAACAGCCAAGTTCATAGTGCAAACTGGTCCCTAAACTAAAGTGTTACACAAAAATTGGTCACACTTTATTTTAAGATCCAATTCTCGCTATTAACAGACCATTAACTACAACTTTTGCCTCAATAAACTCTTAATTTGCTGCTTATTATTGGTGAATATTAATATATGTGTAATATGTGCTTAATGAGTACTAATAAACAGACAATATGTTAATAATAGGCATGCTAATAAGCAACTAGTTAAAGGTGCAATAGGTGATTGTCTTCAGAAACATTTTATGTTATGCTGGTTGAAAGTCTCTTCACATCCCGATAGCAATCATTAAGTTAAGTGGTCTAAATGTATTTATCTGTATTATATATTCTGTGGAAGGCGCAGGACCAAGAAATGTTCGTCCAATCAAAACACTCGGTCCGAGCGTTTTAATTGGTTTTCCTACCTGCCTGTAAACGTATGTATTAGCATACCTCTGCGCACCCTGTTCGCACAGACAGGATACGTCATCAGCGCGTTCACGCACGCTGTGCAGACAGAGCGAGAATGGCAGACAAACATCAACAACCCGATCTTCCTTCCTGGTATTGTAGTACTTTTAAAGTTTTCTCACCGGTGAATGACACATGATGTAGCCCAGCGGTTCCCAATTCCTGACCTCACACCCCCCAGCTCTGCATATTTTGCATGTCTCACTTAGTTAACACACCCAATTCAGATAACCAGCTCGTTAGAAGTGAGCTACGTTCATGAACTGTGTTCCGACCGATATGATCCCTACACAGTGTTTATTGTTCGCTACTCCCTGAGCGGGGGAAATCCGTTGAAGTTTATTTCACTTTGGAACAAGGGCTGGAATTGGGAACCGCTGATGTAGCCTATTGTAATGTTGTACTTCCCAGGGCACTTACGTTCGAATAGAACAAACGTCGCACGTGATAAGAGATACATATGAAATGTGCAGAGCAGGAGGGCGCGAGGATTGGAATTGGGAACTGCTGATGTAGCCTATTGTAGTAATGTTGTTTCTGGTATTCTGGTCTGTGAGCGTATATGTGTTCAGGAGGCGTGGCTTTGGACGGCGATTTGCAGGGAGGGTGGGACGTTCGCTTGCAGTGCTATCAGGCTAAAGTTAGCATTTTCCAAGATCTCCTACTGCACCTTTAATAGTGAGAATTGGTCCCTATACTAAAGTGTTACCGAAAAATGAAATTGCATTATATTATATTATGTTATGTTATGTTATGTTGTGTTGTGTTGTGTTGTGTTGTGTTGTGTTATATTATATTCTCTGAAACTGTGATCTCTACAGATCTCTACCTGCATTGAAAAGCCCTGTCAACCCAGCACCAAAAATGAGTGTATACTGACAGACTGGTCATACTTATGGCCATTTGAGGACGGAAAATCGGTTCATGAGTCTGCCTGCATCAGACACAGCGATGGCTCCTGCGGCTGGTATGAAGGAACTGGCAAACCTTCTGAGAATGACACCATGAACGTGTCTGAAGTCTGACGGCCGAGAGCAGGAGTGGTTTCTCACTGTAAAAGAAGCTGCTTGATGCTCTCCTAGAAGATCAGACCATTCAGATGTAAACACATGCAAGCCCGTTAACATGCTATACTTTCTTGTAGCCACATAGAGCACCTTAACCACCACTGCTTATCAACCACACAGATCATTCTAGTAACTGCCTAGCAAGCACCTAACTTAAGCAACAACCTAGCAACCACTCAGAACACCTTAGAAACCACTTAGCATTCCTCAAACAACCACCGAGAACAACTCAGCAACATTTTAGCAACCTACATACTCTTCAAACTTACATGTACAATTAATGGTCCCACTCAAAGGGGAAATGAAAAAACTAATTCAGCTTGTTTTTTTGTTTTTATAAAAAAAGGGTTTATGGCTTAATATTGCATAGTTAAATGGTCTATTCGCATGTATCTTCTACACAGACACAAATTAGAAAGAG